TCATGACCTGAGCCGAAGGCAGAGGCTTAACAGACTGAGCCACCCAGGTGCCCCTGAAAGAATTAATTTTTATTAACATTATCTGAAAAGGAGAAACATTTTGGAGACAAATTCTTTTATTATTAAAATTTTTCTTGTTCTAGTTAGGTTTTCTGGACTCCCAAAGGATCTGTGACCATCCAAAAGTTAAGATCCATGAGCCTGGGTGGCTCATTTGTTAAGCAACTGTCTTGGCTCAGGTCATGATCCTGGAGTGCCAGGATCGCATCCCACATCGGGCTCCCTGCTCAGCGGGGAGCCTGCCTCTCCCTCTCCCTCTGCTGCTCCCCTGCTTGTGCGCGCGCTCTCTCTCCCTGTGTCAAAGAAATAAATAAAATCTTTTTAAAAATGTTAACATCCAATGCTACCACTAAGCTAAGGCTCAATAACTAGTATTTCTTTCTGACCTAAAAGTTGTCTTTCTGTTACATGCCAGGCCACGAATATCTACCATTTTGAGTCATGGAGTTGCTTTTCATTACATAAAGCTTTAAAATTACTGGAGATTATGGACCCAGGAAAGATATCAGTGAAACTGAAAAGGAGATCTTAGTGCTCACTTTACTTTCCTCATCATTAGGAATCTCATCAAACTTTTGGAGAGACCTGACGCCATCAGAAGTCAGTAACCTAACATATATGAAGACTTATTCAATCAACCAAGCAATATTTACTCAGTGCATACTCTATAAAAGTCAATGAGCTAAGTTTTATAAAAGATGAAAAGTCAAACATGAATCTTGCCTTCAAGGAGTTTATACTCTAATAGAAGAAAACTTGTAATACATATATAATTACATAAAAACTGGAAAGTCTAAGCACTTGAGATAGATCCCAACCAGAACCATCTGTCATATACGTCATACAACCTGTATGCCAAGTAGCAACATGTTAAACATTCCATTTTTTTCCTCTTTAACATACCTTCAACACGAAGAGGAAAACTAAGCTTTATATGTAAGTGACTAAGTGACTGTATTTTTCTTTCTTGATCTCACTGAATAAAGCTTTACACATTATGACAATTAAATGCCACAGGAGACCTATTTATAAGCATTTCTGGAACCCTGACTGGGGCTTCTTTGTGTGAAATATAGTAAATTAAACTGACAATATGATCATCACAAGAACAAATCCTAATAATCTATACAGAATTCAAATTCAATCTCTGTCCTAGGCCTTTACTCACACAGTAATTTCATACACCAGCACATCCGCGTTTTCAGAGTAAAACATTCTCCCCACCCCACATACCTTATAAACCATACCAAAGTGACTGCTATGGTCACGTCTATGGTAGGATTAAAATAACACCACTCTCTACGCTTGAATCACTCCTCTGCAATTACAGTAACACACACAAAAATAGGTAATGACAGTACAAATGTGTGACAGTGAGTAAAAGACTTTGCAAGGTGAACAGAGACGATAATGTGTACCTACAAGGTGTCAAATTTACTCACTATCTCATTTAATCCATATAACCCTGTAGTAGGCATTATTACTCACATCTTCCAGATGAGAAAACAAAGCTCAGAGAAATTTAAAAAATAAACCCAAAGTTACCCAGCTTATAAGCGGCATTCCTAGAAACCTAGCCCAGAACTGGCTAGACAATTCCCAAGACCACACTTACAACAGCGGTGCCAAATGCTCGTTAACACTTAGTGAGAAAAATAAACCGCATATCTTTAAAGTATACCATTCAGGGGCACCTGGGTGGCTCGGTTGGTTGGGCTACAGCCTTCGACTCAGGTCATGATCCCGGAGTCCCGGGACCAAGTCCCACATCAGGCTCCCAGCTCTATAGGGAGTCTGCTTCTCCCTCTGACGTTCTCCCCTCACATGCTCTCTCTCAGTGTTTCTCTCAAATAAATAAATGGAATCTTTAAAAAAATACATAAATAAATAAAAAATAAAGTATACCATTCAGTAAATTTTGATATATGTATACCCCTGTCACATGTGCACACATATGCACACACACTCAAGATGACTCCACAGAATGAGAAAAAAAGATGATGTCAGGTAAATTTTTCATGAAGTTATATTCACTCAAGCTATAGGACTCTCCTCTAAGATGGTATCTTTTGTACTTCTTCGCACAGCGATGTCTTTTATAATGGTAAGAGTGGACGGTGGTGTTTTTATTTGATTGTCTTATGTGGCAGACTAAAAGACGGCAACCATATGCTCGCTCCCGCTTCCGTGTTGAAACTTTACTTGTGTATTAAGTCTTAACCACAACGCTTTTCCGTATTTTCAAAAGAAAAGATTATACCCAGGTGGCTCAGTCATTGGGCATCTGCCTTCAGCTCAGGTCATGATCTCAGGGTCCTGGGATCAATCCCCGCACTGGACTCTCTGCCCAGCAGAAAGCCTGCTTCTCTCTCTGCTGCTCCCCCTGCTCATGTTCCCTCTCTTGCTGTCTCTCTGATAAATAAATAAAACCTTCTAAAAAAAAAAAAAAAGAAAAAGAAAAAATTGATTTTACCCTCAAAAGGATAGATGTGACTAAATAATACTTGGGAAATAATTACCTTTCTACAAGAATGAAAAATATTGGGGCACCTGGGTGGCTCAGTGGGTTAAGCCTCTGCCTTCAGCTCGGGTCATGATCTCAGGGTCCTGAGATTGAGCCCCAAATCGGGCTCTCTGCTCAGCGGGCAGCCTGCTGCCTCCTCCCCCTCTGCCTCTCTGCCTACTTGTGATCTCTCTGTCAAATAAATAAATAAAATCTTTAAAAAAAAAAAAAAAGGAATGACAAAAAATTTTTTTAAACTGCTGTGTGAGGGGTGCCTGGGTGGCTCAGTTGGTTGGGGGTCTGCCTTGGGCTCCCCAGAGTCCTGGGGTGGAGACCCAAGTCAGACTCCCAGCTGAGCAGGGAGTCTACTTCTCCCTCTGCCCCTCAGCCTACTTATGTGCACGCTCTCTCTCGCTCTCTTTCTCTCTCTCTCTCTGAAACAAGTAAAACCTTAAGAAAAAAAAAAGTGCTGGGATGCCTGGGTAGCTCATTCAGTTAGGTGTCTGTCTTCGGCTGGGGTCATGTTCCTGGGGTCCTGGAATCCAGTCCTGCATCAGGCTCCTTGCTCAGCAGGGAACCTGCTTCTCCCTCTGCCTGCCACTCCCCCTGCTGTGCTCTCATTCTCTGACAAATAAATAAAATCTTAACAAAAGAGTGCTGTGTGTACCTCCTTTATCGGCAAAATTACAAGGGAAGCATCCCCATTCCCTCTACCACTGCCTTTCTGATAGTCACTCAGTTTCTCATTTTGTTCCTCACCCACATCCACCAAAGTACTTCAAAACTGAATCTCAACAGATACATTCATAGGCAAGAATGTAACTTAAGTCTTTTGAGTACATGACCATTTTCACAGCCATTTTCTTACTATACTAGCAGCACTAGTGGAAGGATTTCTTTTCTCTTTCTCCTTAGTATTATATTTAAATATTGCCAACTTATTCCCCCCGAATCTGGTTTCTTTAATTTGCTTTTCTTTGATTACTGGCAAGATTAATTTTTAAAATATGTTTGCTCACTGACCTGTTTTATAATCATCTTTCCCTTTGCTCTTTTATCTATGCCAAAAGGCATAAAATTAGTTTTCTCCAAGACTCCAGTTTGAGGCCAGGACTGTCTGATCTTAGGCAAGTTACACCCGCTCTTTGGATCTCAGTTTTCTCCTCTATAAACCCTAAAGATCTGTGAATTTTCAATAATTTAAATTAATTAAGACTTATTCTTGAAAACACAGCAGGCACACAAAATATAATGCTGGTTAGTAAGACTGTTGTTGCTAACCCATTACCACCTTGACTATATAGAACCTTCAATAGCAATGGTAATATAAACCCCAAATAAAACTAAGGAAAACAAAACCACAAGAACTAATCCTCCTATTTCTAACAAAAAATACAAGAGTGTCTGCAGTGTGTACGCACCAAAGTCTTCAGAAAAAAGGGCAGCTTTTTCTCCTCTACGAAGTCCGTACATTTATGGTGTTGTACAGCTATAAGAACAATGATCCAGGTTTTGAACGTTTCCATTACCCACCAAGATCCAAACTGAAGCCATTCCTCGTTCTCGCCCTTAGCCCTGGACAACTACTAACATACTTTTGGACCCCGTAGTTTTGCCCTTTGTGGAAGTATCATGTAAACGAAATATGGCTATTTTCACTTGCTATGATATTACTGAGATCCATCCACACTACAACATGTCTCAGAACCTCATTCTCGGGGCACCTGGGTGGCTCAGTGGGTTAAGCCTCTGCCTTCGGCTCAGGTCATGATCCCAGAGTCCTGGGATCGAGCCCCGTATCCGGCTCCCTGCTCAGTGGAGAGCCTGCTTCTCCCTCTCCCTCTGTCTGCCACTCTGTCTACTTGTGATCTCTCTCTCTCCGTCAAATAAATAAATAAAATCTTAAAAAAAAAAAAAAAAAACCTTTATCCACATTTCCAATATCCATTTACCAGTTGATGGTCTTGGACTGTTTCCACTTAACTGGCCCTAGGAGTATACATTCATGGTCAGGTTCTTGTGTGAAGGGAGGGTTTATCTGTACTGTGCAGACACGCAGGAGAAGCGTGTCTCAGAGCAGCCGGCCAGCTCAAGTGGTGGAGCACATGACTCTTGTCTCAGGATGATGAGTTCAGGCCCCACTGAGGTCCAGAGATACTTTAAAATCTTAAAGAAAAGACTACCTTCTTCCCCACTGAAATGCCTTGCACTGTGTCGAAAATCAGCTCACTGTAAGGGTTTATTTCTGAACACTTGGTTATGTTCCAAATATTTGCAAATAAGTCTATCCACGTGCCAATACCAAACTGTCCTGCTTTAGCTTTATAGTATAATTTTTTTTTTAAAGTAGGTTCCACATCCAGCATGAAGCCCAGTGTGGGGTGTGAACTCATGACCCTGACATCACGACCTGAGCTGAGATCAAGAGTCAGAATGAGTGCTCACTTCGGCAGCACATACACTAAAATTGGAACGATACGGAGATTAGCACGGTTCCTGCACAAGGATGACAAAGAAATTCGTGAAGTGTTCCACGTTAAAAAAAAAAAAAAGAAAAGAAAAAAAGTCAGATGGAGAGAACTGACTGAGCCACCCAGATGCCCCTGGTCATAATCGTTTCTACACATTGCCAGACTTGGCTTCCTAGTATTTGGCTGAAGATTTCTGCACTTAAGATTCATGAAAGGATCTGGCTGTGCTTTTAATTTTTTGTGATATCTTTGGCTTTGGTACCATGGCAATCCTGGCCTCAAAGAATCAGCTAGAAAACATTTCCTCAGGGTGCCTAGGTGGCTCAGTCATTAAGCGTCTGCCTTCGGCTCAGGTCACGCATGATCCCAGGGTCCTGGGATCAAGCCCTGCACTGGGCTTCCTGTTTGTCTCGGAGTCTGCTCCTCCCTCTCCTGCTTCCCCTGCTTGTGTTTCCTTTCTTGTGGTCTCTCTCTCTCTGTCAAATAAATAAATAAAATCCTCAAAAAAACAAAAAGGCATTTCCTCCTTCTTTATTTTCTGGAAATGTGTGTGAGGGTTTGATATTAGGTTTTTATGTTTGACAGCATTTACCAATGAAGCCAAGATGACCTGGATGACCTGGGCTTTTCTTTGTGGCAAGAATTGTAATTACTAGGGCACCTGGCTGGCTCAGTTGGCGGAACGTGTGACTCTTGATTTCAGAGTCATGAGTTCCAGCCCCATGTTGGGTGTAGAGCTTATTTTAAAAACGATTTGTAATTACTAACGTCTTTACTTACTATATACCCATTCAGATTTTTCATTCTTTTTAAATCAGTTTGGTGGACTCTGTCCCATTTCTAGGACTGTGTCATTTTACCTAAGCTGTCTTCTCTGTTTTTCTCAGTCTAGCCACAGGTTTGTCAATTTTGTTGATCTTTCCACTTAACAAGCTTTGGGTTTTATTGATCTTCTCTACTATTTTTCTGGTTTTACTCCACTGACTTCCACTCTGATCTTTATTTCCTTCCTTTCGTTTTCTTTTTTCTTTTTTTTTTTTTAAGTTTGTTTTTCACTCTGTGGATTCAAATGGTGAAAGCTTAATTTTTGATTTGAGATCCTTCTCCTTTTCTAAGATAGACATTTTTAAAGCTATAAATTTCCCTCTTAGTACAGTTTGGCTGCACCAGAGGAATTTTAGAGTGTTGTGTTTTCTATTTTTAATTCAGTTCAAAATATGTTCTGACTTTTCTTGTGATCCCTTCTTTGACCCATAGTTACTTAGAAATCTCCTTTAATTTTTTATGAAGTGTACATAGAGACAAATCAGGGGGATTCCAAAATTTCTGACTGGAGCACTAAAGGAAGAAAGTGCTGTTGGAGACACGGAGGAGCGCACGTGCAGTGGAAGTAGGGCTGAGAGCGGGAGTTCAGTCATAGACATCTGAGGTGGAAATTCTCACGCGACAGTCACATGGAGATGTGGCAAGGCAACTGGGTATGAAAATACTGAGTCTGGGGGCAGTCCATACTGGTGATGCAAAATTCAGAAATCTCAGGGCTTGTATGGTAATATTTAAAAAGATTTTATTTATCTATTTGACCAAAAGACACAGTGAGAGAGGGAACACAAGCAGAGGGAGTGGGGGAGGAGCCTGATGAAGGCTGGATGCAAAGACCGTGGCATCATGACCGAGCCAAGGGCAGACCCTTAACAACTAAGCCACCCAGGGGCCCCATTTGTGTGGTATTTAAAGTCAAAGGACTCAATTACCAAAGGTGTGAATGTCGATAAAGAGAAAAAGTTTCCATGAGTGAAGTCAGAGACAATCTCATGAAGGAGATTCTTGTTAGGTTCGGTATGTTGGGGCATTTTTAATTTGATCTAGCAAGGACAGAGCCAATTTAAGCACTCTATAAGCCATGGATGTAGAATGAATGTTATCACATGATAACATGTCATATCTGTGACTAGTGGAGATGTAAAGATAATGACATTAAGAGACCAGATCTCCACATAAGTAGACAGTTTACAACACATATATATCAATAACAGGGTTACTATATATATGTCTACTGAAATGATAATATCCTTAAACTTCCATGTTACTAAAACAAGATCCTTACCCCTACACACCTATTTTTTTTCTTCTACCCATATGCCTTTCTACCAATATCAGTCATTTAACATTTATCTCTTCTAAAAACTGTGAAATCAAAAAAAGCAAAATTGTTGCTCTTTGCCACATCTACTGTGAGAACGAAGACCACTCTCAGCAATCAGAGTGCTGACAGCCCAGAAAATGTCAACATCGCTCTAGAGGGATACGTGCACTGGTACAGTGAAGGGCCCCAGAGGAACCCTGTGGAGGGACTTGAATCCCATCAATGCAGAACTCAGTCTCCTCGGAAAGAAGAAGAGGCTCTGAGTGGACAAATGGCAGGAAACAGAAAAGAACTCACTACTGCCCACGCTATCTGTACTCCTGGACAGAACATGATCAAGGTTTAGACTGGGTTTCTGTTACCAGATGAGGTCCATGTATGCTCACTTTCCCATCAACATTGTTCTTCAGAAGAACGGTTCTCTTCTTGAAATCCAAAATTTCTTTTTTTTTTTTTTAAGCTTTATTTATTTATTTGTCAGAGAGAAAGAGAGCACAAGCAGGGAGTGGCAGGCAGAGGGAGAAGCAGGCTTCTTGCCCAGCAGGAGGACCAATGTAGACTCGGGAACTGTGTTGTCGAAGGCAGTCGCTTAACCAACTGAGCCACCCAGGCGTCTCAAAATCCAAAATTTCTTGGGTGAAAAATATACCTGGAGGGTTCAGGAAAGTGTTGTGTGTTCAGTATCTCAATCCCAGAAAGATGAGTTAATTTTTTTAAAGATTTATTTCCTTATTTTTAGAGAGAGAGAGCATTGTGTGGAGGGACAAAGGAAGAGGGAGAATCCCGAGCAGACCCCCCCCCCGCTGAGCACAGAGTCTGGCACGGTACTCAACCCCATGACCCTGAGATCATGACCTGAGCTGAAATCACAAGTTGGGACTTAACCAACTGAGCCACCCAGGTGCCCTGAAAGATGAAATAATTCCTGAAGGAAATGACACTGAACTTGTATCAAACTCTGCTGCTTTGATTCAGCAAGCCACAACAGTTAAAAAAAAAGGATATCAGAAAAATTTTGGATGTTAGCTACTTTTCTGAAAAAGGAACAGTTCCACAGGCTGATGAATAAGACCTAAATTGTCCAGCTACAGAAACAGCAAAATGCCAGATGACTTTTCAGACTTATTTGTGAGATTTTAAAGATGCAATAAAAGCTGTACTGATTTAGGGGTTTTTCTCAAACCAATAATCCTTTCCAACTATCTGGTAAGTAAACCATTCAGAAGTTTAAAAAAAAAAAATCAGCAAAATTGTTATCCCTCCAACCACACAGCCACATGACAAAACAAAAAGATAATATGCATATTCCAAAGCAAGTATCTTTAACTCTTCTTACCATGTAAGTCTGCAAGGGTCACACTCCATTCCTTTAAATTTTTTTTGTTGAAGAAGCAGAAGAAAGATATAATGCTGATGAAAAATGGGTCAAGCGAGGGAAACTGCTTTCCAACGGTGATTTGAGATTGAATAGGAAATGGGTGAATTAGACTGAAGAAAGACAGTTATCACCCATCTGTACGCGGCTCTCCTGTATCAAAGGCAGCTTACCTCCAGCTTACCCCATTAACTAAAGCATTCCAGTTTCAAGGTGACATAGAGTTTTACAGAAATGTCTTCCCACTTTTAATAATTTGGATCAAAACTAGAATCCCTTTAAATAGGCTTAAAATTTCCAGTAACATTAATTTTCAAATAATGCTTCAAGAAAACCCTACTGCTGTGGCAAAAAAAAAAAAAAAATCCAAGAGATCTTTGTCTTACAGACACACTCCTTGCCTTACTGCATTCTAGATGCCAAAGTTAGAAATCAGAGAGAAAAGAAATTCACCACCAGGTTTTTCAAATATAAATGATCCTTATAAACACATCACTGTTAGTTTTCTCTTAATATGCTTTTAGCGCCCAAAATGATACTATTTGAGGCTATGAACCCAACAGACACAGGTTATTTATGTGATGCTTAATAAAATTGTTTTATTAAAATAGGTCAAATGTCACACTTCACATTTGCGGCCCCAAAGAACTCTTAGGTATTTAAAAATAATGAAAATCACTCTGTCTGAATGAAATGGAATAACGGAACAGTCAGGAACACGGTCACTGTTAATCAGGTAGACCTAACCTCTCTCATACCTTGGTTTCTTATCTACTAATAAGAATAAATGAAATTATATTAGACTTTCTATAATTGGCACATGATAAGCACTCAAAAAAACTATAGCTATTGGGGCACCTGGGTGGCTCAGTCAGTTGAATGTCTGACTCTTGCTTTTGGCACAGGTCGTGATCTCATGGGTCATGGGATCGAGCCCCAAGTCGGGCTCCCCACTCAGCGGGGAGACTGCTTGAAGGTTCTCTCCCTCTGCCTCTCCCCAACCTGTGCGCATGCAAGTGCACACTCTCTTTCTCTAAAATAAATAAATTCATAAAAAATGAAATTATACATATTAAAAAAAAACTATAGCTATTCTGAAATTTAGAATCCTTCCTCCAGCTGCGAATTTGTATCTTCAAAGCAAACAGGCTTAGCCACGCAGCAGGGCACTGAAATGCCAGAAAGCTGACTGTTCACCCTACTGCCCAAACCACGCCTTACTATCGTTTCGGAAGTGCAATTTCAGGAGAAAAAATGTAAAATAAAATGAAAAAAAAATTTAAAAAGCAAATGAAAAAATGGGGGAAAGGTTATGGGAAAAAAACAAATAAAAAGATAAGAAAAACTTCTGAGGGCACCTGGGTGGCTCAGTGGGTTAAAGCCAGAGTGGGCCTGCTTCCCCCACCCCTGCCTGCCTCTCTGCCTACCCGTGATCTCTGTCAAATAAATAAATAAAATCTTAAAACAAAACAAAACAAAACTTCTGAATGATCTTAAAGGCTGAATCCTGAAATTGATATCCACTAATTTGAGACTTAGTTAGAAAATC